AAAGCTGCCTGGAGGGCCACCTGGTTCCTATGGGGCATAACGGGCTGGGAGGAGAGACAGTTGTAGCTGCACATCTAGTCTGCCTGTGTCCCCTGAGCCCTTCGGCCACAGGATAAGCAGATGAGTCCACAGAGGTATATGGCAGGGAGACGCTGCTACAAATGTTTTTGGTGCCTTTGTTGATGCAGGCATTGTGCTCGGCACTGAGACAGCTACAAAGATGAGGAAGATACAACATAAGAATGCTCAAACCTGTAGAGAATTTTTTTTTTAAGTTATATAGCATTTGCTTTATTTCATTTATGTAAAGGTCGGGAGTTGTGGAGGTTTTTTAAATATATTTTTATTGATTTCAGAGAGGAAGGGTGAGGGAGAGAGAGAGAAACATCAATGATGAGAGAATCATTGATTGGCTGCCTCCTGCACGCCCCCTACTGGAAATCCAGTCCGCAACCTGGGCATGTGGCCTTGATAGAATTGAACCCAGGACCCTTCAGTCCATAGGCTGATGCTCTATCCTCTGAGCCAAACCAGCTAGGGCTTGAGAGTTTTTATGAGTTTATTTGAGGCCTCACAGCCCTCTTCCGGGTCCTGTGCCACCTGCAGTTTCCAGGGTTTGTTGGGCTACTTTGTCCTGTGGAGTTGGGTGGGCACAGCCACAGCTAACTTGTAGCAGGATGGGGTTCCAGCTCCACCCCAACTATAGGGGTGAGAGCCGATTCCAGACGGACCTTGGGCATGTGAAGTTCGTCTTCAACATCTGTGGGGGGTGCCTCGGCCTGAGTTCTAAGCGCAGGCCTGCACCGTCCAGGAGGCTTCAGAGCCAGTGCACCCAGTGAACAGCTTCAGATCACATTGAAAAACCACCCAACCACCACCACAGTGACACACTCAAGAGGCAGACTCGAGCCGAAACCGGTTTGGCTCAGTGGATAGAGCGTCAGCCTGCGGACTGAGAGGTCCCGGGTTCGATTCCGGTCAAGGGCATGTGCCTGGGTTGCGGCACATCCCCGGTGGGGGATGTGCAGGAGGCAGCTGATCGATGTTTCTAACTCTCTCTATCTCTCTCCCTTCCTCTCTGTGAAAAATCAATAAAATATATTTAAAAAAAAAAAAAAAAAAAAAAAAAAAAAAAGGAGGCAGACTCGGGCAGCAGAGCCCTGCTGAAGTGTGTGCTGCTCGGTGGGGCGGGCCCCTGCACACCTGATCCTTCACGGTGGTTGGTGGTGGTAGCCAGTCCTTGCAGCGGATTGGCCTGGGGGTAAATCCCTCCCATTGATGTGCCAACAGCAATCAAGATTCAGCTAAAACAGGAGGGTCTACATAGCCCACGGGTGGGGAGGGGTGCAACTAGAGAGCCCAGCTCGGGTGGTCAGGGAGGCTGGGCCATTGGGTCCTACAGGACATCTACTACAATAGGCTACTCTACCAAGCCTGGGAGACATAGCAGCTCTACCTAATACATAGAAACAAACACACAGGCTGCCAAAATGAGGAGACAAACACGTCGTCCCAAATGAAAGAACAGAACAAAACTCCAGAAAAAGAACCAAACAAAACGGAGACAAGCAATGGACCAGATGCAGAGTTCAAAACACTGGTTATAAGGATGCTCAAGGAACTTAACGAGAACCTCAACAGCATAAAAAAGAAACAGCCCTGGCCCGGCCACCATGGGGCAGTGGTTGAGCATCGACCTATGAACCAGGAGGTCACGGTTCGATCCTGGTCAGGGCATGTACCCTGGTTGTGGGTTCGATCCCCAGTGTGGGGCGTGCAGGAGATGGCCGGTCCATGTCTCTCTCACATAGATGTTTCTCCCTTCCTCTTTCTCTAAAATCAATAAAAGCTTTTTTGTTTTTTTAAAGAAACAGTAAGAGCTCTAGCTTGTTTGGCTCAGTGGATAGAGCATAGGCCTGCGACTGAAGGGCTCCAGTCAAGGGCATATGCCTGGGTTGTGGGCTCGATCCCCAGTAGGGGGCATGCAGGAGGCAGCCGATCAATGATTCTCTCTCATTATTGACGTTTCTATCTCTCTCCCTCTCCCTTCCTCTCTGAAATCAATAAAAATAAAAATATTTTTTTAAAAAAAGAAACAGTCAGAAATGAAGGATACACTAATGAAATAAAGAATAATTTACAGAGAATCAACAATTGAGTCCATGAAGCCAAGAAGCAAATCATTGACTTGGAATGTAAGGAAATAAAAAACACCCATTCAGAAAACCAAAAAGAAAAAAGAATCCAAAAAATGAGGATAGTGTAAGGAGCCTCTGGGACAACTTCAAGCATACCAACTTTCCCATCATAGGGGTGCAGGAAGAAGGGAGAGAGCAAGAAATTGAAAACCTATTTGAAAAAATAATAACAGCCTTAGCTGGTTTAGCCCAGTGGATAGCGTGTTGGCCTGTGAACTGAAGGGTCTCAGGTTTGATTCCAGTCAAGGGTCAAGGACACTACTTCGGTCGCAGGCTCCTCCCCGGTTAGGCCCCGGTTGGGGCATGTGCAGGAGGCAACCAATCGATGTGTTTCTCTCACATCGATATTTTTCTCTCTTCCCCTCTTTCTTCCACTCTCTAAAAATCAATGGAAAAATATCTTTGGGAAAGGATTGAAAAAGAAAAGAAAAAATAATAACAGAAAACTTCCCCAAACAAGATGAACCCAGTGAGGCCCACACTAAGATACATCATAATTAAAATGCAAAATGTTAAAGACAGAGAGAATCTTAAAAGCAGCAAGAGAAAAGCAGTTAATTACCTCTAAGGGAGCTCTCATAAGACTGTCAGCTCATTTCTCAAAAGAAACTGCAGGCCAGAAGGGATAGGCAAGAAATATTCAAAGTGATGACAAGCAAGGACCTACAACTAAGATTACTCTACCTTTCAAAGCTATCATTTAGAATTGAAGCACAGACAAAGAGCTTCCCAGACAAGAAATAGCTGCCCTGGTTGGTGTGGCTTGGTTGGGCGTCACCCAGGGCACCAAAAATTTGCTATTGTGATTTTCAGCCTGTGTCTCAGATTGAAATTTGGGGGCATTACCTAAGGAGGGACAGTAGGAAGTTATGAAGTAGTTAAGCAGAGGTATGACATGATAAGGTCTCTGCTTTTTTGTTGTTGTTAAACCTGACCCAAGGATATTTTTCTATTGATTCCCCCCGCCCCCCCGCCCCCCAGAGAGAATGGAAGGTGCCTCCCACACGCCCTTGTCTGGAATCGAACCTGGGACTCTTCAGTCCACAGCTCTATCCACTGAGCCAGACCAGCTAGGACAAGGTATCTGCTTTAAAGGAGATGATAGACCCTAGCTGGTTTGGCTCGGTGGATAGAGCATCGGCCTGCGAACTGAAGGCTCCCAGGTTCGATTCCGGTCAAGGGCATATGCCTGGGTTGCGGGCTCCATCTCCAGTGGGGGGCGTGCCAGCGGGGGGCATGCAGGAGGCAGCCAATAAATGATTCTCTCTCATTATTGATGTTTCTATCTCTTTCTCCCTCTTCCTTCCTCTCTGAAATCAATAAAAATATATTTAAAAAAATAAAAAATAATAAAAGAGATGATAGGTGCGAGTGGGAAAACCTGGGGCCAGGGAACCAGTGAGGAGGCAGGCAAAATAGAGCAGAAGGTACTGAAGAGGTCTGACCTTGAGCAGTGGCAGTAGAAAGAGAAAGACAGCACTCCCTTTCCTGGCCCTGAGTTTTAAAGTTAGCTTCTTGAGTTGTTTCCCTTAACTGGCGAGCACACTAGAGCTGGCAATTTGTTGTGTCAGGACCTAGAAGCCCAGATCCCTCATCCTGCTTCCAAAAGACAGCTTCCCCCTGGCACCAGTGACTTGAAGTCATAGCTTTCCTGTGTGTTGAGGTGAGGAACAGGACGGGCCTGTCATGCAAAAAGAGAGGCCTAATATGTACCAGCCATAAAATTTCATGATTCAAAAGGCATGAAAACACTCAAGGCTCCCATTTCCTAATCTCTAAAAAGGGAAATCACTTTCCATGCTTTGTGTGAGTCACAGACCTGTTCGTTTGTTTATTTACTCAACAGTTATGTATGGAGCACATACCACGTGCCAGATACTGTACTGGGTGTTGGGAGATAGTGATGAAAAAATACAGAACCGACCTCTGCCCTCAGAGAGCTTGCTGCGAAAATCAATGAAACACAGTAGCTCTGCCAACTATAAAGCACTGCACTGGTCTCATTTTTCTAATTTTAACTCCCAATAAGATTGTAATCCTGGTTACTCTTGTCTTCTTTATTTTCTTCTCTCTATATCCTTGAGCAAGTCATTTCGCCTTTTCAAGTGAGCCTTTATTCATATCCAGTGCAGGGTCTATGATTGGCTTTGATATCAATCTCTCTCCACCCACCCTTTCCATAGTCCATCCCTATTCCCCGCCTTTAGTAGCTGCAGTCTCTTTAAATGCGCTCTTGTGTGTCAGCGACCCTGTGGGGCTGAGAGCGCATTTCTTCCCGGGCTTGACTGTTAGGTTGTTTGTCCGTTTGGGGCTTCCGTCCGGCGGGTCCGCCATATTGTCTGCTGAAGCTGCCGCCGGAGCCGCCGCCGCTGCCGCCGCCAAGTAGGAGCGAGCGGAGCCGCGATGGGTGAGTAAGGAAACCAGGCAACTGGGAGCTCCAGCGAGGCAGTCTCGGGGCTTGGGGTCTGGCGACAGGCTGTCTGCAATCTGCAGAGGATGCCTGAGGCCCCTCCACATAGGTTTTGGGGAGAAGCCAGGCCGGGAGTGCCGCTCAGGCCATTTAGGGAGCGGGCTAGGGCCCCTGGCGGGGAGCAGTCTTTGGGGGCTGGCTCCGGGAACGTTGCCACGCCGGGAGCCCCCACGTGGTGTCCCTGGGCCGGAGCCCAAGCCTCGCTGGGGGCTAGAAAGGGGCCGACCCTCCGGCCTGCGCGGTGGAGCCTGGGACTTGGGGCCGGGCTCCCCGCCGCAGGCCCGGGCGGTGCCGGGGGAGCCTCCTCCGGGCGTGTGCGTGGCCGACGCGCATCTTGACCGTATTCAGCGGCTCAGCCCCCTGAGCGGAGGGAAACCCTACCTGCGTCGCGGGCAGAGTCCTCCGGCGCGGAGACGCCAGGCGCGCCGGCTCCGGGCCCGTGACCAAGGGTCGCCATGCCAGAGACAGCCTGGCGGCTGAAGGCCTGGAACTTCCCCGGCCCCGGCGGAAACGGGGAGGTGCGGTGGGGCTGAGTGACAGCCTTCGTGGGGGCAGAAAACCGAAGGCCAGCACCTGTGGCCGCAGGTAGGTCGGGGACTTCAGAGGAAAGGCGACCTGTTGCTCTTTCTTAAGGGACGCCGGCTGGCCAGGCTTGTGCTCAGGGAGACTACGATGGCAAAGCTTTTGGACTCAGGGACAGAAACATCAGTGGTATTTCCTCTCCAGGAAAAAAAAAAGAGAGAGATTTGCTGAGCACTTCCTGTGTGCAGGTATTGTTCTGAGTGTGTATATGTCACGTTTTACTTAACGTGCGCCACCTAAGGAGGGAGAGACTACTGGTGTCCCTATTTTACAGATAAGGAAACTGAGGCTTCGAGAGGTAAGGTAACTCACCCAAGGTCACACGGTGCCTAAAACGGGGTGATTACTCCAGAACCCTAGTTTATAGCCTGGCCCCCTAGTGGTTGGGCTGGAAAAAGGGTGAAAGGAAGCTTTTAACCAAAGTTGTAAAGGTGGGTGTGTGTGTGTGTGTGTGTGTGTGTGTGTGTGTGTGTGTGTGTGTTTGCTAGTGAGACCACTTTGAAATCTTTAGTCTGAACGAAACCTAAAAACTGCAAATTGAATTGCTAACCCCAAATATTGTGCGAGTGTGTGTGCTCGCGCGTGCGCTAAATGAGACTCTAGGATTGAGTTTTGTAAGATCCCTGATCCTGAGAAAACATAAATTATTCCCTTGAGCTGCAAGGCAGTGACTGTAGAATCAGCTCTGGCATTATAATCCTGCCTGTTGCTTCCTCGCTCGCATCCAGAGAAGTCACTTAGGTGTCGAATGCAGTAACACATGGAAAGTATCTAGCGGATCCTCAATAAATGTTACTTTTCTTTTTTGAGTCTTCATTTCCTCATCTCTAGAAAGAGCAGTGTTATCAAAGGATGTAACACAGTGTCAGAAGCCTAGTAAGAGTTCCGTACATATCAGAACAGATTCTTGTCCACCTTCAATAATGTTAGTTCCTTTTTCTTAAGTGCTCTGGTTTCCAGAATCCTCCATTAAGGCTGACATGCCTGTCTTTGTAACTGCTGCTTTATGTATCGAAAAATTTTAGGGGCTTTAATGTTACAGATTTTGTATTGGTCCTCAAGTTCAGGAATACTGGTGCCTCTAAGTCAGTGGTTCTCAACCTTCTGGGCCTTTAAATACAGTTCCTCATGTTGTGACCCAACCATAAAATTATTTTGTTGCTACTTCATAACTGTAATGTTGCTACTGTTATGAATCGTAATGTAAATATCTGATATGCAGGATGGTCTTAGGCGACCCCTGTGAAAGGGTCGTTCGACCGCCAAAGGGGCCGCGACCCACAGGTTGAGAACCGCTGCAGGAGCTTATGTTTAGTTTAAGTTCAGTGAAATAAATTTGGTGGCGATTTACTCCCATTTTTACAGAAACTACCTCAGAGAAGATAACACAGTAAGTAGTAAAGCCAGAAGTGAGATTCTTACCTATTTTGCTGCACATAAGCCTCTTGGAAGACTTAAGGTGTGAAGTAAAGTAGTCCTTTTCCAGTAGACTTTGAAAGTTCTTCAGTGGAGCAACAAAACCTGACCAAGGTCCTGAAAGGGATTTTTTAAAAAAATATAGTTTTATTGCTTTCAGAGAGGAAGGGAGAGGGAGTGAGAGAGAGAAACATCAATGATGAGAGTCATTGATCGGCTGCCTCCTGCACGCCCCCCACCAGGGACCTAGCCCGAAACCCAGGCATGTGCCCTTGACTGGAATCAAACCTGGGACCCTTCAGTTCACAGGCCGACGCTCTATCCACTGAGCCAAACCGGCCAGGGCCTGAAAGGGATTTTTAATCTAGAGTCAGGCTGCCTCCCTTTGTCTCCCCAACTCCATATCAGGTACCTCTCCCTGTCCCACCCTGTCTTTCCGACCTTTTGTTTTGGCTGATCCTTATACCATGGGAGTGAAACTAATGTAAGGCTACATTTAATCCTAACATCAAATCTGAGTTAGTTTGGGTTTTCCTCATTTATAAATGAGTAAACTGAGGCTTTGAGATTAGGTGATGGTCCAAGGCTGGTGGCCTGCATCACACCCACATAAATGTAGAACCTGTTGTATTTCACCGCCTCTCTGGTGTACTCTCCTTGAGCTCTGCCCTATATCCGATGCTATTTCTCCTGTGCCAAACTTCACTAGCCTTACCAGACCTTTGTAGTGATTTCACTGCCATTAGGAGCCCTGTGGGGGTGATATTTGGAGTTCTGGAAGTTACTTATTCTAACCCTCCCTGGCAGAGACCATAACCTCTCAAGACTAAGTGTTGGCAGACACTGGTTGGTGGTTTTATCACCATTCCTTGCCACCTTGCTAACCAGGAATCTGGAAGCCCCTCCCAGCCCCAGCGATAGGTCTTGATTAATATAAATTCTAAACCAATCATTGTAATTCTAGCTCCCTGAGCAGTGATTGATTTAGGCCTGGGCATGTGATACAGTTCTGGCTAATTAGATGTGAAGGGAAGTCTGGGTGACTTCTGGGAAAGCCTTCCTTATTTAAAAGAGATTTGCCAGTTTTTATTTATTATTTTTTGCCAGCTTATATTTTAATCCAGATATCACCAAACAACCTCAAAAAAAGACAGCTGAAAAAGCTATAACAATAGTCAAAAATTATATAGAACTTTCTATGTGCTAGGCACTAAGTACCATAATTTTTTTTTTGAGGTCTAAATGCCTAACATCTAAGTGTCTAAGTACTGTTATATTGACTCATTTAATTCTCAGATTCTCATGTTCTAGTTGAGGAAATTGAAGCACAGAGAGATTCAGTAACTTGTGAAAGGTCAGAGATAGCAAATAGAGGAACTACTTACTCAGGTGGTATGGCTCCAACCAAAATAGGGGCTATCTGCAGGACAGTGTTCTGCCTCTGGAAAGGAAAGCCCTTTCTGACTCTGAAATTGCCATTAGCAATGCTAGGATCATGAGGCAGAATTTATAAGAATAGGCTGTTGTAAGGGTGAGGGTAGGGAAGATGGAAAGAATCTGGTCTCATGTTTTTGAGTCACTGAATTAGCCAACTTTGGAACTGTCCTATCTTTGCCCTTAAATAGTATACTGAAGACCACTTTTAGTTTGCTTTTGGGTGCAAGTAACAAAGCCTTTCTAACTGGTAATAACACTTTTCATTTAGCCCATCATCTCTTCTTTTCATTATCTCCATCCTTGCCCACCCACCCTACCGTTCATAACAGCTTCTTGCAGAGAAGGCACCAAACCATCAATCACTATCTAAGTATCTCACAAGCACCAAACTCACTCCTTCTTAGCTTTCTTTTCCTGCATTTTTTTTTTCTTAAATATATTTTCATTGATTTCAGAGAGGGAGGGAGAGAGAAAAACATCAGTGATGAGAGAGAATCATTGATTGGCTGCCTCCTGCACACCCTCTACAGGGGATCAAGCCCTCAACCTGGGCATGTGCCCTTGACCGGAATCGACCGGGGACCCTTCAGTCCGAAGGCCAATGCTCTATCCACTGAGCCAAACTGGCTAGGGCCTGCATTTTTGTTATTGGTGGTCGTTGACCCAGATACTAGGGCATAAGATAGAAACGATATCTATCTTTGGTTTCTTACTCGTTTCTTGCCTTCCTATATTGGCAATTGTTGGATACTGTTAACACAGTTATCCTGTTACTAAGGTCTTCTCTAAATTGCTTTGTGTGAATTTTTCTCACAACCTAGTTCCACGAAGAGTATTAATTCTGTGGGGTTCAACGTTTTTAAAAATATATATATATATTCTTATTGATTTCAGAGAGGAAGGAAGAGGGAGAGAAAAAAACATCAATGACAAGAGGATCATTGATGGGCTGCCTCCTGCACGCCCCCTACTGGGGACCGAGCCCGCAACCTGGGCACGTGCCTGGACTGGGAATCAACCATGACCTCCTAGTTCATAGGTTTACACTCAACCACCGGGCCACACTGGCTGGGCCAGCAAATGTTTATTGAATGTCTACTATGTGCCAGAGATTGTTGTAAGGCCTTGGAAATACAGTGGTGAACAAAACAGACAAAAATCTATCTTCCTATTGAAATCCCTAGAGTTTAAATTATAGTGGGTAATTGCATGAAATCAACCAAATGGAGACTGGCAGGCCAATTAGAGAGCCCCATGCAATCTACTTCCTGTAATTGACCTCCTGGTTCATAGGTTGACCCTCAACCACTGAGCCATGCTGGCTGGGCTATAAAATATTTCTTAAATATTTTATGTATTTTACCAAATTCTATGTATTTAAAAATACATATTAAAAGGATGAAGACAAGTATTTTTAAACATCGTGCTGATCCCATAGCGTTTTGTATTCAGTAGGCATTATTATTATTGTTGTTGTTGTTGTTGTTGTTCCTCAGCCGAGGATATTTTTTTCATTGATTTTGTTTCTTTAGAGAGAGGGTAAGGAAAGGGGAGAGACAGAGAGTAACATCGATGTGCGAGAGACACATTGATTGGTTGCCTCCCTCACATGCCCCGAGAGCAGGGGTGGGCAACCTTTTTGTGAGTGCGTGCCAAAACCAGTAAAATCTCTGACTCAAAATTCTTCTGCGTGCCAACCCTAATTTTTTGAGAACATGTTACGCCTACTTGATATCTCTTAAGGTGTACGTATGTGAAGAACCTTGAAGAAATAATAAAATGCATTCGAGCGACAAAAACACAGTATATGATGATGAAAAATACATTTATTTTTTAATGTATACATGTACACTGATAGTCCGACAGAAAACTTTATGACTCCATTTGATATTATCAGTGGGACTTTTGCTGCTGCATCACTGATGACAGAGATTTTACATCAGGCTTATATTTCGTGACCTTCAGAGATATGCACAAGCTACTACTTTCATCTGTCAGGCTACTCCTATTACGAGACTTAACAAAATTCATCACTGAGAACAAAGATTCACAAGCGTATGTGGATGAAACCAAAACACTGGTCGGATCTAGGAGGCAGGGAGAGTTAAAGCAGAGGCATAGAAATTGCTCTTCCCCTCTCTCGTCAATCC